GTTCACAATCACCCATATTTTGTTATAGCGGGTCATTCTGGCATTCATGAAGGGGAATGAGATGTTATGTGTGTACATACAATTAAGGCTTTTTTCCAAGAAAATGATGGAGTTACAAGATTTTTTTTCTGTGCAATATTACTGTAAAATACTCTTTAAAGGTAGTGTAAATAAACCCGTGACTTTTCAATAGGCTATGGATGCATTAGTGACACCATTGACATATTTGTAAAATTCAAAAATGAAACACAAAATGCTATTAATTTCTCTTTTTGAGGCACTGGATTACTAAAATAGTTACGATATACTTTGCTATTACTGCCAATCTTGAATTGGATCAGAGATATTTCAAAACTGAGGCTATGGACTTGCTACACCTTCATGGCAATGACAACAAAAATCCCTGAGAAAATCATTGCAACCCTGGTTGACAAAAATGTGCGTAGCCATGGAATAACCCAATAGCTAGAAGAGACAGTTTAACAGCATTGTTTATTTCAGCCTGCAGTTTAACAAATACAGACTCTAAAAGGATATATCAGACAGAGAGGATCCCATATAAATGCACAGGTTGGGACTTGTCATTAGCCTATTTACCCCTCCTCAGATCTATATGGACTCTGGGAATAACAAATGCTTCAGAGTGAGGGGCATGCTTACTAGAGTTTGCCCTACAAATTGTTCCATTTACAACTTTTTGCAGGTAACTCAGTACAATCTTTTGGAATTTGTTGGCTATTGCTATATACTGCTGAGAAAATGGCACTTTCAGCATTCTGCGATTCAGCAAAACTGTTAAGCATATGGTGTGTAGCCTATAGGGCTAGCCTGCTTGCTTGGCTAGATATCTTTTCTTATTTTCTTATGGGTTTGACTACTGGTTTTATTATAATAGGTTATAATAGGTTTACATTAGAGTGTGTATTAGCTGTAACGCAAGGGACTTATAGGCCATATCCTGTATGTTGAGTTAAGACTAAGTTAGTGTAGATATGTTTGGGACCTTTCACCTAGATAGTGGTGATGAGCTAAAGCACAAGGTCCATATATGGTTGCAACCTGTAACAAAGACAGATAAAAGATGCATTGACTCTAGGTGGTATAGGAGGGCTACCTAAGTTCATACCCTCTTTGTACTTAAGAGGTACACCACAATTTGGAAAGAACTGAAATAACTGGTTAAGACAGAAATAACAGATTGAGAATGAGCTAATGTCATTAATATGTATGTATATGCCATCAATCCGTACAAACATACCAGCCTATGGGGTAAGTGTACCCCAACATTTTGTGGGTGAGGAAACTAAATTTGGACATAGAAGGAAGCCTCAGGTGGCTCAAGCTCTATAAGATCCACCGTGCCAAGGAAGCGTCTAAGCTTCTAAACTTCAAGGCTTCTTTGTTCTTAGTGTTTTGTTTATTATCTTTTGTCTATTAGATCTCAATTGTAAGTTTTAAGTCAGTTAGTTAAGTAAAACTCTAAGTTAACGTCTTTAGTCTTCTATAGCCTCAGCTCCTCCTAAGCTTTGCACCTCCCATTCAAGAATTGAGGAACCTGGACCTGAACTCTTTTGGCATGCCAGAGGCAAGGCGGTCCTTTGTCTCTTACCCCCAGGTTATCAAGGAAGGGTGTGAGTATATTAATCAAAAGCTTTATAGTACATAATATCACATGTATCTCTAGAACAATATTATTGCCTTTGTAACTCTGATTCTTTTACCATTTGATTACTAATCCATTTTTCTCAATAAAAGTGTTTAAGGCTATATTTATCTCAGTGTGAGTGTCCTTGCAAACTCTGTGTAGCCTGATTCTGGGACAAGAACCTTATTATCTTCTGATCAGATTAATTGGCCCATATTATCTAAAATAATAATATTAACCTCCTAAAATCAGGCAACATGTGAAACCCCACTGAAGTCAATGGGACTTAAGCACATGCTTAAGTGTTTTGCTGAATAGGAATGGTTTGCTGAACAGGACTTCTGCCAGTACCTTTTAACTGCTTTACTGTCAGCCGCCACTCCTACTGCCAAGGATGTCAGCTTGCTGGATGTGATCATTTTAAATTATCCACTGCTTCAGAGAAGGAAGAAAAGAACCGATTATGCTGGATATTCATGCTTCTTGGATGGCTGAAGGCATAAGGTGTGGGCTTCCAGTGTAGCCATGTGTTATTACTTGAATAATCATTAATAAAAACACTGTGGAATGGACAGTGTTGAGTGGCTTACAGTCCAGCCATTTTCAGTACTTCATATACAAAAATATCTCCATGAAAATCAAGTTGCATTATGTCTGATTCTTTGTACATCTCTTTGTTTGACCAATAGCAGCAAATAACCACGTTCTAAAGTAACTAAGATTGATGATCCGTGCTTTCTAACATCAATAATTATGATGTATGCAGCAGGAAAGAGAGCATCATAATTCATACACTACCCTGATTAGTCGAAAAACATGTTTTCTAAGTGAGCTGATAAGCATGCAAAATATGGC